GAGGCAACAGTGCTAACCACTGTGAGGCAACAGTGCTAACCACTGTGCCATCCTGCCACCTGTGCTAAAAGGCATTTAGCATTCTGAAATACCAGAAAATTATAAACAGGACCACTTCTCACTATTCTCAAGTTACACACCTAGCATATCGAATTAGATTATTTCAATTTTTACTCAAAAGTGAGCATCAACTACTTTCCAACTTTCATTCCTGCATAAAACGTAAAACTATAAAACAGATTAACTGGTGGATAAGAAGGTAGAAATAGGCAAACAAAATGAATTTAAGCAATTAAATTTAACTCTGCCAAATAACCCGATTCAAACGCCAATAAAGATCAAACCACTAACAGGCTGGCACCAAGTTTATGCAGAAATAACCCTCAGATTCAATTCCAATTTAAGGAGTTAGCCGATCTCAAGTTATTAAATGATACAATTTGTTTCTGTGACCTTGGTTGGGAAAAAAAAAAATCAAGAACCAAGGATTACTGTTCCCACTTGAATATCCAGAATGAGTCATGAGATACGAGATACTATGTCCGTAAGAAGGAAAAGAGAGATATGATGGCTTCCATGATCAAGTCAGCTACGAATATTCGTCTGCTCGACTAAGATGAAAAGCAGCAATTTGGGAGACGTGCCAGTCTGAACTACACTTCACGAGGGGGTCACAGGCAGAGGGTGAAAAGAAAACAAACCCAACCCAATTCACCTGACAATCTAGCAAGCTAACGGATATCAATTTTGAACATTCCTCATATGAAGGACCACAACCTTAAATCGTGTTATAAAATGGCAGAGTCTTCCTGAAACATTACATATTATTATAATGAAAAACTCAGTATGACAATTAAAAAGTGAACTTTAAAATTAGCGACGATAAAATTTTCTCTAGTGCCTGAGAATATGCAATTCATTGCACCTTAGCAGATCAGAATAATTCCCTCTGGAAGGTATTCATGTACTTGGGAAAATGCTGCCCATAAAACAGGTGGTGAGAGCCTAGTGCAGTGGTAATTCATAATGTGGCCCCCTCTCCTTCACCTGCAGGCCTTGGCAGCAATGCTGCTCCATTATCTCTTGACTATCATCCATAGCCTGCCAGCTTGGAGATGTTGCCAGAGTCAGGATATTAATCAAAAAAAGAGATAGATATTGTGATTATAAGTGTGAAATGAAAAGTTGGTGAATATCTCTTGTTGACTAACTCTCCTAATGCTTAAATTGATTCAGTCTTGCTATTTCAGTTTTGAGCTGGATATTATCTTGAACTTACATCATTAGCTTCTGGTCATCAGCTACAGATCCAAACAAAGATTCATGCAATAAATGCCAGGAGACATCTTCTACAACCGCAGTATGGCCTGTAAAAATTGTTTTAGCATCTACTATCTTTCCTTCTTTTGGACCTGCACTTATGTCCCAAAGACAGATAGTCTGTGGAAAAAAAAACAGCTGTAATATCTATTTTTTGAAGAAAATCTCAATTATTAAGAAACATAAAACAGCTAAACTACAGAATGTTATCACAAAAGGTTTGATCAAATAGTTGCAATATAACATTAGATTTGAATCACACAGTAATTATAAGAGTCACACAGCACAGAAACAGACCCTTAGGTCCAACCATCCAATGCCGAACATAGTCACAAACTAATCTAGTCCCACCTGCCTGCTCCTGGCTCATATCACTCCAAACCTTTCCTATTCAAGCAAGTGCTTTTTTCAAGTCTTGTAACTGTGCCTAGAGCAATCACTTCCTCAGGATGTTCATTCCACAAACAAGCCACACAGTTAGAAGAAGTGCTCCTTGTGTCTTTATTAAATCTCTCTCTCACCTTAAAAATATGCCCCTTAGTCTTGAAATCCCCATCCTAGGGAAAAGACACATACCATTAATCCTGTCTATACCCTTCATGATTTTATAAACCTCTACAAAAGGTCACCCCTCAAAATCCTATATTCTAGTGAAAAATATTCCCAGCCTTTCTTAACTCATACCTTCCATACCCGGCAACATCCTGGTAAACCTCCTTTGAACCCTCTCCAGCTTAATAATATCCTTCCTATAACAGGGCGACAAGAACTGGACACAGTGCTCCCGAAAAGGCCTCACTAATGTCCTGTATAACCTCAATATGACTTCCCAACTCCTATACTCAAAAGGACTGAGCAATGAAGGCAAGTATGCTAAATGCCTCCTTGAACACCTTGTCTGTATGTGCTGCAAACTTCAAAGCATTATGTACCTGACCCCTAGGTCCCTCTGTTCTACAATATTACCCAAGGCCCTACCATTAAATTGTACAAATCCTGCCCCTGTTGGAATCACCAAAATGCACATACCACACGTTTATCCAGATTCAACTCCATCTGCCATTTTTCCAATCAAGATCCCTTAGAAAACCTTTCTCACTGTCTACTTTGCGGCTGACACCAGAATTGGTGGCAGCCGCAAACTTATTAACCATGCCTTCTATATTCTCACCCAAAATTACTTATATAAAATGACAAAAAAAAGAGGAGGAACAACCGATCCCTGTGGAGCACCACTGGTGACAGGCCTCAAGTCCGAAAAGCAACCTTCTAACACCACTTAATTCTTATAACGTTGAAACCTGCATTAATTTCACATCCCTAATAACCCTTGAACTGAGTGACTGGCTGGGCATTACTGAGGGTAGACAAGAGTGAATCACACTGATGATGATCTGGAGTCACGTACTGACCAGGTATGGTCTGCCACAATGTCAGATTTCCTTCTCTAAAAACAGGATACTCATGAACCAGATGGGTTTTTATGGCAACCAATAATGGTTATGTGGTTACTATTAGGTTTAATTCTAAAGTTAACAATTGAACTTTAAATTCTACAAGCAGCCATGGGTGGGATTTGAGTCAGTCTATCCAGAACATTGCATTGCACCCTGGATTACTAGTCCACTAATATTTTCATTGTGCCACCACTATTACCTACAAATAAAGCATTTACAGTTTTGCTGACAAGCATGCTTTCTGTATGAAACAAACATTCAAGTGTCTCTGACTGGTCAAAAAAGGAAAACGCTGAAGTAATATGTGCACCTACATGATCATCCGAAGCACTGAGAAGATGTCCACTTAGGTTTGGGTTCCAGGAGAGACCATATCCTTCTTTTTGGTGGCCACGCAGTCGAAGATCAGGGTTACATTCACCACTGGGATCTAACTCAGAAAAAATATCAGCTCCAGACAATGAAACAAAGAAATCTATGCCATGTTAAAATCAACGTTTTATTTCAGAATTGTATGGTAGCAAAATTTCTTTTAGTTTTAACAAAAACATGATGTTATTATTTGAACTATTCAAAGAATGTTAACTCTGCTTCGCAATCCAACTTCAAACTAGTCAATACTAGTAGTAAATCAAAATGGCAACTGAATGTGTCATTATTTTAACCAAGGAAAGCACATTAGTTAAACAGCAAAAGACACTTTGTATACAAAATATCTCCTCAGGAGATTCACAGAAGGCCAGAAAAAAAAAGGGTGACCAAAAGTTTAAATCAAGAGGTGAGCTTTAAAGGTGTATCTTAAAAAGAAAAAGAAAAAAAAAAAAAAAAAGTGGCAGAGATGCTTAGGGAAGGAATTCCACAGCTTTGGGTTTGATAAGAAACTGAAGGAATGCCTGCCAATGGTAAAGCAGTTAAAACTGATATGCAGAAACTGCCCGAATCAAAAGGAGTACAAGGATTTCAGAGAGTTGTATGACTAGAGGATGTTGCAGATAGGAGTGATAAAATTCCCGCTAAAATATTGAAAAAAACTCAAGGAAGTTTGATTGTATACTTTAAAGAAAAAACAAATCTATATAAACGTTTAATTCTTTTGTTCAGAGATCAATTGTGTTATTCAAATAATTACCCCATCTTCATTCATTATGAAGCCTTTCTACAAGTACAATATTTTCAATCCGTTCTCCCATCAACACAAATCGTAAATACTACTTTCACCACAAGCACCTAACTCTCTTACATATATGTTTCATAAAGTGGACTTCACAGTGGTATAAAGTACCTGGTTCATTGTTACAACAATCTGCTTCACTAACATAACCCAATCAAGACATCTTAAGCAAGTTTCACATTTCTCACAACCATTCTTCGCAAAGTCACCACGGAACTGACTTCTGTCAAAGTTGGTTTCGGGAGGTGCTATCCTCCTTCCAGCCTACTCTTTACGTATGTGGCTAGACAGAGTTAAGCTATTCAATCGTGGAGGAGGGGTGGAAAACTAGAGTTGACAAAGGATGAGCAGACACCACACAAAAATGTCAAAACTACCAAATTATCATAAATCTGAATTTGTTAATGAATATCTCCCAGTAAAATGCCACTCCTCTCCAAGCTTGACTAACATGAATTAGGTCCCACAAAGTAGCTCAACAATAATACCCTGGCATGGTCCAGCAAGCTGCTCAGCTGTAAACAACTACAGAACACTATATACGTTAAGTACTTATAGAATTGGTGAAGACAACTCAGGTATCAGATCTAGACTGATCTTATTTCAAAATCCCAGTTCTAGTGGTTGAACAAGGCTTCTCTCATTAACCTTGGAGCATTGGAATTGTTCTCTCAAAACTAGTCAAACCACAAATAGACGGAGTTATAACCTGACATATTTAGCAACTAAATCCTCAGACTTGTCCATTGTTAGCCTTTGCCATGCCTGTATCCATCAGCAGGGAGGTGGATCTGTAGTGGTATGGTTCTGAGAGATGTTGGAATTTTTAACATTAACTCAAGAATCTAAGAAACCCCATTACTTTAGGCAAAGGAAACCTGCAAAATGAAGATCACACATTATCCAACCACCACCTCAACTGTCACAGCAGCCCAAGGGCCAGTGCTGAAGAAGTTCACTCAAAAGACTTCTGTGCTCAAGTATTAAAGACACACTGGGTGGGTAGACCTCAATGTTCATCATCAAGGATAGCTCAGTAATATCATTAGTAATCAAGACCTAACTGTTTTAAAAATATACCTGTCAGGTTGGGGGGATGGAGGGGAACCAGCAGCAATAAGTATTGAAGCTGAAACAAAGTTATTTGACCTTGCCTTCAGTTCTGACTGAAACAAATGAGTTGTTGCCTGACAGTTTTATGACAATTATATTGCCCTTGAAAAGGCAAGATCTCATCTGATGAGGAAATCCTAATTTTAAGTATTTAATGGCACAACTGTGCCAAGTGGAGGAGACTATAGATAAAATCCAAGATCCACTAAATAATGCAGACCACCAGCAGCAAAACTGCACAGAAACCCTGCCTGGAACATAATGACTTCACAAACGCATTGCTCTTTTGTCCATCAAACCATTACATTAATGTAGGTTCAACAGCGAGCATAGATGTTGGAAGTAGCACTAATTTACTGTGTTCAAATGAAATATCAACTCAGTGAAGCTACAGGTTCGATGCAAAAAGCACAAGGCTACAAAAAAAAAACTAAGCAGGCACACAACCTACAGATCAAAGTAAAATGCTTATACAATATATCAGCCTTAGCTCACAGTTAGTAATTTCCAGAGTCAATGCTGTGGGTTCAAGCCCACTCCAGAGGCTGAAACAAACAAGCAAATCTAGGCTGACAGTACAATGCTAAAGGGAATTCCTGCACTGCCAAACATCCCACCTTTTGTACAAGGAGTTAAAGTTAGACCCCACGTCCTGCCTCAGGTGAACAGAAAAGATCCTACATCATTACTCGAGGTGAATTGGCCCAAAGCTGTTCCTTGATTATTGCTAAAACAGCTTACATGGCCATTTCACTCTTTGCTGATCGTAGAATCTTTGCATACATTCCAACAGCAGCTACCTTGTAGTTATTAACAAGGTGCTACACAAATGTTAGGATCTAGTAGAAGTCAAAAACCCTGAGCTCTATTATAAAAGGTGAAGTTTGTAATATTCAAGGTGCTGCCTCCACCCATGGTTTATAATTTGCTTACTGCTGTTGGAATGTGAGTAAGGATTCGCAATAAGCAAAGAGCAAAATGGCCATGTAATCTGTTTTAATAATGACAGAGGGCCAGTTTACCTCAGAGTAATGAGTTAAGATCTTTTCCATTCACCTGATACAGAAAATAGGGCCTAACTTTAAGTCCTCATCCAAAAGGGCGGAACATTTAGCAGCACAGGGACTCTTTTTATAGTGTACTGAAAAGTCAGCCTAGATTGTTTCAACCTCTGGAGTGAGCTTGAATTGACAGCATTGACTCTAAAAATTACTATCCATGAGCTATGGCTAACATCTTGTACAAGTGTTTTTCTTTGATCTGTTGGTTGGGTGCTTCTCAACATTTTGCATTGAACTGTAGCTTCATTAGGTTGGTATCTTGTTCCAAGTCAGTAGGTTAGTGTTACTCCTAACATTTACATTCACTACTGAACTTGCATTAAATCTGGTATTTGATGGACAGAAGTGCAACGAGTTTGATAAATCATTGTTTTTCCAAGCAGGGTTTCTGTGATTTTGCTGCTAGTGACCTGCAATATTTAGTGGATCTTGAATTTATCAGTACTCTATGCCACTTGGCACAGTTGTAGTGCAACTAAATACTCAGTGCTTTACATGAACAACAATTCTCTTTTTGTTGATCTGCCCTACGGTCGTACTTTTAACGAAAACGAACCAGCTTAATGCAAAATTGTGGAATTGCACCCTTCTACAAAAACACCACATTGCACTAGGAACCATTCTTAAAAAGAATCCTTCATAGAATCATACAGTACAGAAGAGGCCCTATGGCCCATCAAGTCTGTTTGGCCATAAATATACAACCTACTATAGGCCTATAGCCTTGAATGGAATGACATTTTAAGAGCTCATCAAAGTACCTTTTTGAAAGGTTGTGTGGTTTCCTGCCTCACTACCCTTCCAAGCAGTGTATTCCAGATCACCTCTCTGGGTGAAAGTGTTTTCCCTTAAATCCCTTCTAAATCTCCTGCCTTTCACTTAAAATCATGTCCCTTCAAATAAGGGGAGCAGCTGCTTTCTATTCGCCACCCATGTCTCCTCAATCATATAGACCTCCATCAGCTCCCTCCTCAACCTTTTCTGCTCTAAAGAAATCAGCCCAAGCTTATCCAATCTGTCTTCATAGCTGACATGCCCCATCCCAGGTAACGTCCTGGTCAATCTCCTTCGCACTTCCTATAGTGTAGTGACCAGAACTGCACAGTGCTCCAGCTGTTCCTAACCAAATTTCTGTACAGCTCCAAAATGATCTCCTCACACTTAAAAATCATGACCCCAAGAGTGATTCAGGTAAGCGTCCGAGGCCTTCTGAACTACCCCATCAACCTGTCCTGCCAGCTCAGGGATCTGTGAACAAGCACCCCAAGATTCCTTTGAGCTCCTAAGTGTCTTGTCATTCATCAAGTACTCCCTTGTCTTGTTTTTTCTTCCAAAGTGCAACACTATATAATGGGAAATTTTTCCAGCTTAAAATCCGGACAATGTTTCAACGTGAACGAAGTAATTATTTACTGATTGCTGGATACCCAAAAATTTCTCATTAAATTACATTTTGCATCCTGTTCAGCTTAGAGAAAACAAAATAGGCATCACCATCTTAAGTTAGATTGTACTGGGACATTGACACAAAACATACCTAAACTCCAAAATAAAAAGGAAGCCACTGTACATCATGTAATACTTATGACAATTTAGTAATCTCCAATCCTAAGTATCTCAGTGTCTGGGATATCCCAGTAAAAGTGCACAAAACGATCTGTGAGCAAAGGGGAATGTAAACAGACAGCAGGGTATTATTTCCACTCCAAGTCCCCAACCTCTATATTTTCACGACCCCAATGCCACCATGCATACCCAACTTCTCCAGCCACTTCCCTACTGTAATCTCCCACACCCCAAGCCCACTAAAACCCACCACACATTCTCCAACTCAGCATCCATTCCCCAAACACTCACTTCTTCACAAAACTTCCCATTCTAGAGATTCAATCTCACCTAATTCAAACTATCCACAATTTCAATTCCATGATTCCTCCCAGCTAATTGCACCTTTCTTCTGGTGACAGCATTGTGATGTGCTTCATGGAAAAGGTGGGAAATTATTGGGTTGAACATGAATGAGGCCAGCAGTTTGACATTAGTTACACAGTGTTTCACCAAAGGGCTTGTTCTCATTGGGGTGTACTGCCACAGGAGACAGAAAATCATTCATTTCAGCAACTGGTGACAACACAAGACAGGAAACCCCAGTTGCAGGAAATTGTGAGACGCTTCATTGTATGGCCCAGCTTCCATTTTTGGTAGAACAGGACATTCTTTAAGCAGAATCTGTACTGGCAGAGGAACCAGGTGTTCAATCCCATACCCGACAGCTACGTTTTAAAATGTAAATGGACTTGAAATATCAATGCTGTTCCTGGTTTTGAAGTGCAGTTGAAACTGTTACAATTAGTGGCTCCACAATCAGTGCAGCATTCATTACCTGGCTTAGATGGATGCTTGGTATAGTCAAAGACAAGCACATCAGAGGTGGGGGTTTTAGTGGCAATGATGCACGGATTCTGTGGCATATAACGTGCTCGGTTCACTTCACCTTCATGATTGATTTTAATTTCAATTTCTATTTTTCCACTCACAGATCCAAATCCTCCAAATTCTGAAAAAGAATATCATGATGCATTTAGACCACTTAAAATCACAAAAGAACCAACGGAATTATAAACAGAAAAGTCTTAGGGAAAAAAAAAATCTAGGCCTGCAGTAGTTCAGTAAACTATTCAATAAAGTATTCTCAATTCAGTTTCCTATTTTGATGTTTAAGAAAAAAAGCAATAACCACCCCCCCATGGGGAAAAATAAAAGGGAAAAACTGGCCAGAAAGCATTCAATGCAACTATCATACAAGACCTGTTGGCCCTGCCTAGAAAGCGTACAGAGGAAGAAATATTGGGAAGGTACAAGTCATGAAAGATAAAGTTAGTATTGGTGACAATTGTAGTTTGTTTTTATGCTAAGGCATAGCAGATTAGGCACTGGACTTTTGGACCCAAGATCAAACTTAAAAGGAGATGGAGGACTTTTGCGCACTGCTGTCAAGTAATGGCAGACACACTCAGCAGGTATGGAATATTTCTTCTCTGCTTCGCATGCACTGAAGCAGTCAATAAAAAATGAGTGCATGTAGAGTCACAGAATCAGAATTGCACAGCACAGAAACAGACCCTTCGGTCCAACTCATCCAGGCTAATCAGATATCATAAAATAGTCTAGTCCCATTTGCCAACATCTGTCCCATATCCGTCTAAATCCTTCCTATTCATATATTCATCCAGATGCCTTTTAAATGTTGTAATTGTACCAGCCTCCACCACTTCTTCTGGCAGCTCATTCCATATACACACACCACCCCGCATGAAAAAGTTGCCCCTTAGGTTCCTTTCATATCTTTCCCGCTCACCTTAAAACTGTGCCCTCTAGTTTAGAGCTCCTCTACCCTGGGGAAAAGATGTTAGTTATTCACCCTATCCATGCACCTCATGATTTTATAAACCTCAATTAGGTCACCCCTCAGCCTCCAACACTCCAGGGAAAACAGCCCCAAACTATTCAGTCTTTCCCTATAGTTCAAACGCTCCAAACCTGGCAACACCCTTGTAAATCTTTCCTGAAACCTTTCAAGGTAAGCAACATCCTTCCTATAGCAAGGAGACCAAAATTGAATGCAGTATTCCAGAAAAGTGGCTTAACCAACGTTCTGTACAGCCGCAACACAACGTCCGAACTCCTATGCTCGATGCATTGACCAATAAAGGCCAGCATACCAAATGCCTCCTTCACTATCCTGTCTACCGGTGACTCCACTTTCAAGAAACTTTGAATCTGCACCCAAGGTCTCTTTGTTTGGCAATACTTCCCAGGGCCCCACCATTGACGTACAAGTCCTGCTCTGATTTGCCTTACCAAAATGCAACACCTTACATTTATCTCAATAAACCCCATCCGCCACTTCTCGGTCCATCAGCCCATCTGAACAATGGCAGCTGTACTCCGAGATAATCTTCTTCACTGCCCACTACACCACCAACTTTGGCGTCACTTGCAAGCTTACCTATACCTCATATTCGCATCCAAATCATTTATATAAATGACAAAAAGCACATATCCTTGCAACACACCATTGGTCACAGGCCTGCAGTCCAAAAAACAACCCTCAACGACCACCCTCTCTGTCTCCTACCTTCAAGCTAACTTTATAACCAAATGGCTAGCTCCACGTGATCTAACCTTGCTAACCAGTCTACCATAGAGAACCTTGTTAAGTGCCTTGCTGAAGTCCATGTAGACAATGTCCACTGTTTATAATTTAGCTATATATCGTATACAAAACAGTCATCCGTGCCCTTCAATCAGCCTCCCACCCACCCCTGCCAACTTAATTTAAAATAACAAGTGAGAAGTTATTTTGCAGCCCAAAAGATTTTGAAGCAGAGTTCCACAGCAAGGGTCCCAGGCAATTGAAGGCAATACCCACTAACGATAGGTGAAGTGAGGGATATAAAAGATTGTTGGAACAAAGTAAAAATACCAAAAATTACACTTCAAAAAGTAGAGAAAAATTAATGGGATGGTGGTCAGTTAAATATGCTAAAGACACAGGGGCAACTAATTTAAAGTTAATCAACAAAAGCTTGATCAACACTGTTTCTTGTGGTTTCAGTGGACAAGTAACTATGTTCAAAACTGTATGTAGCTCAAATACAATGTTTAAGGATACCATATCATCACAACACATACCTCCCTTCTCACTATCATAGTGAGAAGCATCAAACTGAGCATCATCATTGGGGATCTGAACACTTGCAATGACCAAATGATTCTGTTCATCAGATGTATGCGTCCCAAGCACCAAACGATGAACACTATAGTCTTTTCCTTCAGGCCTACATAGAAAACAAAGTTATTTTTTTAAAAATAAAGTAATTAACCTGGAAAATCAAGCTGCACAGAATTAGAAGAGTGATCAAAACTAATACTGCTCCTTATAACAATAAAGTTATTAATTTCTGCCATGAAAACTCAGGGGCCCTTGCTCTAATCTTCATCTGATATCACAGGAATGCTGATGCTTTCCCATCAGCCGAAGGACTAGTCGCATAGAATATGTTCTAGAATACAATACAATTAGTTCCGGAGCTACATTAGGAGGAACATTAATCTATGTTACGGATAGTGGAAGTCAATCGTATCATCGTCAGGAGGTCTATAGTGCAGAAAGAGGCCCTAAAGCCCATCAAGTCTGCAGTAGATAGAAACCACTACTCAACTATTCTAATCCCATTTTCAAGCATTTGGCCCATAGCCTTGTATGCCTTGGCAGTGCACATGTACATCCAAAGACTTCTCAGAAGTTATGAGGATTACAGTCTTTACCATCCCTACAGGCACGGAGTTCCAGATTCCCATCACCCTCTGGGTGGAACTTTTTTTACCCCCCTCACATTCCTTCGAAATCTCCTGCCCCTTACTTTGAAACTATACCCCTTGGTCATTGATTCCTTCCACTAAGAGGAAAGTTTCTTCCTGTCCACCCTATCTACAGCCCTCAATTAAACATATCTCAAATCGTGGCAGCCCCCCCACTCCCAAGCCTCATCTGCTCCAAGGTAAACAACCCAAATCTATCTAATCTATCTTCATAAATTTTCCAGCCTGGGCAACAGCCTGGTAAATCTCCTCCGCACCTTCTTCAGAGTAATCACATTCCCCCTATAATGTGCAGTTTGGAAATCACACAATATTCTAGCTGTGACCTAACCAATGTTTTATACAGTTCCAGTATCACCTCCCTGCTCTTAAACTCTGTTTTGGCTAATAAAGACTAGTAATGTCACCAAATTAAAAGCAGTGAAATAAGACACTCAATATCCTTGCTTTCATTTTACGACTGGAAAAGTTGTAGTTTTGTAGTTCTTATTTTGCATTAATGAAGTTTGCTCAAGGGATGCCACCACAATTTAAGATTTGATACATTGCCAGCTTATAACAGTGAAGGTGGTTATCTAAAGATTATAGAGATCCTGACCAATTGGGTCAATGGACTGAGGAGTGGCAGATGGAGTTTAATTTGGTTAGATGTGAGGTATTGCATTTTGGTAGTACAAACAAGGACAGGACTTGGACAGTTAATGGTAGGGCCCTGGGTAGTGTTGTACAGAAAGACCAAGGGGTTCAGGTACATAATTTTTTGAAATTTGTGTCACAGGTAGACAGGGTGGTTAAGGTGGCGTTTAGTATGCTTACCTTCATTGCTCAGACCTTTGAGTACAGGAGTTGGGACGTCATGTTGAGGTTGTACAGGATGTTGGTGAAGCCTGCTCTGGAGTACTGTGTGCAGTTCTGGTCACCCTGTTATAGGAAGGACGTTATTAAACTGGAAAGGGTTCAGAAAAGATTTACCAGGACGTTGCTGGGAATGGAGGTTTGAAATATAAAAATAGACCGGAAAGACTGGGACTTCTTTCACTGGAGCGCAGGAGCTTCAGAGGTGACCTTATTGATTTTTATAAAATCATGAATGATTGACACTGACATGCGTCTTTTCCCTACGGTGGGTGGGTGGGGGAGTTAAAAACAAGGGGGCATATTTTTAACGTGCTAGGAGAAAGATTTTAAAAAGGACATTATGTGCAACTTTTGTACACAGAGTAGTTCATGTATGGACTGAAGTTACAAAGAAAGCGATGGATGCAGGTACGGCTACAACATTTAAAAGACTACTGTATAGGTTCACGAATAGGAATGGTTTGGAGAGATATGGGCCAAACACAAGCAAGGTGGGACTAGTTTCGTATGGAAACATGGTCGGCATGGAGTGATTAGACCAAAAGGTCTGTTTCCACCCTGTATGACTCTACAACTATAACAAAGCTGTCAATAGTTCTGCGTGGGTTAATTAGAACAGCAAGACATGTAGAGCACATTATAATATATAGAAGTTAAAAAAAAGCTGAAGATAAACCAAGTAGATATATTCTAATAGTTACATTTTAATTACATAGCTTTTCTTCATTCCCACACATACTTGCAAGTCACCAGTAAATAAAATGCACATTATGACACTCATGCAATGGCGCAGCATATTATTTAACAGTAACGAGACTCGACTGATAGAGACAGTTGTAGAGCACAGAAACAGACCTTCAGTCCAACTTGCCCATACCGACCAATATCCAAAATTAATCTAGTCCCATTTGCCAGCATTTGGCCCACAAACCCTTCCTATTCATGCACCCATCCAGATGCCTTTTAAATGTTGTATTTGCACCAGCCTCCACCACTTCCTCTGGCAGCTCATTCCATACAGCACACCACCCTCTGCGTGAAAAAGTTGCCCCTTAGCTCCCTTTTATATCTTTCCCTTCTCACCTTAAACCTGTACCCTCTAGTTTTGGACTCCCCTACAGTGGGAAAAAGACCTTGGCTATTCACCATATCCATGCCCCTCGTGATTTTATAAACCCCTCAGCCTCTGAAGCTCCAAGGAAAATTGCCCCAGCCTATTCAGCCTCTCCCTACAGCTCAAATCCTCTAGCCCCAGCAAAATCCTTGTAAACCTTTACTGAACCCTTTCAAGTTTAACACTTTTCCTAAAGCAGGAAGGACAGAAGTGAACACAGCATCCTAAACGTCATGTACAGCCCTAACATCCCAACTCCTATACACAATGCACTGACCAATAAAAGCAAGGGTACCAAATGCCTTCTTCACTATCCTGTCTACCTGCAATTCCACTTTCAAGGAACAATTATCTGTACCCCAAGGTCTCTTGGTTTGGCAACACTCCCCAGGATGCTACAATTAAATTTATACATTTTGCCCTGATTTGCCTTACCAAAAATGCAACACCTCACATTTATCTAAAGTAAACTCCATCTGTCACTCCTCGACCCACCTGATCATGGTTCTGTTGTATTCTGCGGTAACTTTCTTCACTGTCCACCACACCTCTTGATCAAACTGTGCTAACCAGTCTAACCTGGTATGTTCTTTCATGGGATGAAATTGCCACTAGCAATGTCAACATTCATTGGCCATCACAAATTGTCCTTGAACTGAGTTTGCCTAGGTCATTTGAGAGAGCAGTTAAGAGGATTGAATAGCTCTTTTATCAGTCTATGAATATTGACAATCTACTAGACTCAAGACATGAGTTGGTGCACTTTTCCAAATTAAGTTGAGCAAAATGAACAGGAAGTAAAGTAGGAATGTCCAGGACATTTTGGTTGGCAGGCTACGACGAGCAAAAATAATTCTTAAGCAGCTCAAAAGTATGGATGCTGAAAAAATATAGCTTTTCCCTGGCTGGGAACACAGTCATTGTCTCAAAATGACAAGAAAGCAAGATGGTAACTAGAGGGAGGGTAGGGCCTCTTAAAGATCAAGGAGGTCGTCTTTGTGTTAAACGCCAGGAGATGGGAGAGAAACTAAAATGAATATTTTGCATCAGTTGTTATGGTGGAGAACAAAATGAAGTCTAGAGAATGCAGAGAAATAAACTTTGTTTTAAAAACAGTTCACATTAGATAAAAGGAAGTCTGGGAGGTCTTAAGAGAATGGTGGATAAATCTCTGGGACTTGACTTAATGTATCCCAGACATTGTGGGAAGTAAAGGGAGGAAATTACAAGACCCCTTGCAGAAATATTTGAATCCATAACTACCAGTGAGGTGCCTGATGACTGGAAGGTGGCTACAGTTGTAGCTTTGTTTAAGAAAGGTTGCCAGGAGAAACCGTGGAACTATAGACCTGCGAGTCTGACTTCACTTGTGGGTAAATTGTTGGAGACAATTATAAAAGACAGGATTGATGGATATTTAAAGGCAAATATTGATTAAGGATAGTTAGAATGGTTTAGTGCAAGGAAAATCATGTCTCACAAACTTGATTTTTTTTAATAAGTTACCAAAAAGGTTGATGAGGGCAACGCAGTTGACATTGTTTATTTGGACTTCAGTAATGCCTTTGACGAGGTTCTGCATGGCAGAATAATTAGTACAGTTAGGTCACATGGGATTCAGGGTGAGATTGCCAACTGAATGCATAATTGGCTTAACAGCAGGAGACAGAATAATGGTGGAGGGTTGCTTTTCATGCTGGAGGCCTATGACCAGCGGTGTTCCACAGGGATCAGCATTGGGTCCACTTTATGTTTGTCACTAAGATAAATAATTTGGATGAGAATATAGAAGGTATGGCTTTTAAGTTTGCAGACAACAGCAAAATTGGTAGCACAGTAGACAGTGAAGAAAGTTTTCTAAGATTAGAGGGATCTCGATCAAATGGGTCAATGGGCTGAAAAATTGCAGATTTTGTTCAATCTGGGTAAAGACAAGGTACTGCATTTTGGTACAACAAACAAGGATAGGGCTTATACAATTAATGGTAGGGCCTTGGGTAGTGTTGTAGAACAGAGGGATCTAGTGGGGACAGGTACATAATTCTTTGAAGTTTGCATCACATATAGACAGTGGTTGAAAAGGCATTTGGCACCCTTGCCATCATTGCTCAATCCTTTGAGTTGGGACTGCACAGGACATTGGTGAGGCCTCTTCTGGAAAACTACATCCAGTTCTGGTTGCCTAGTTATATGAAGGATTTATGAAACTGGAGAGGGTTCAGAAGAGATTTACCAGGATGTTGCCGGATATGGAAGGTTTGAGTTGTAAGGAAAGACTGGCTAGGCTGGGACTTTTTTCAAGGGAGCGTAGGAGGTTGACAGGCAAGCTGAGAGAAGTTTATAAAATAATGAGGGGTATAGATCGAGTTAATGGTAGTTGTCTTTTCCCTAGGATAGGAATTTCAAGAGTAGGGGGCAGATTTTTAAGGTGGGATGAGAGAGATTTTAAAAAGACAGGACACAAAATTAATTTTTTTTTTAGAAAAGCAGGGTGGTTCGCACGTGGAATGAACATCCTGAGGAAGCGGTGGATGCAGGTACAATTACAACATTTAAAAGACATATTTAAATAAGTACGCGAATAGGAAAGATTTGGAGGGATCCGGCAGGTGGGACTAGTTTAGTTTTGGATTGTTTGGCATGAACTAGTTGAACCAAAGGGTCCGTTTCCATGCTTTATGACTGACTGCCATTCTGACTGATGAGGACAGATATCAACATTGAAAGGGCTGAACTTTTGTAAATCCCTACCACGTAAAAAGCTGTGGGTATTGTCATCGATTATACTCAGGATAGAGACTGGGAGATTTTTAGATCCTAGAAAAATTAAGGGAGGTGGGAATAGTAAAGAAAGGTGAATTTGAGGATTACCAGTCACGTTCTTATTTGAATGGCAGAGCAGGTTCAAAAGGAACACGTTGTCTACTTCATCTCTATTGTACTGTTCCTGCACAAGGAATGTAACTTAATTTGGTTTAGATTATCACTTGTACATCCTGTTCCTTAGTTACACTAACCCAAAGGAAAAATACAGCAGCACTGTAATGTAAACATTTGAATTAAAGTTACTTGTCTTTACGCCTCAAACAAGAATACCATTTTAACACCTTACAAAAATAACAGGGAACATTAACAAAATGTAGCAACAAAAACAATAGAATCAAATTACCTGGTAACATCAGGAAGCCACTGTACAGTAAGACTTGGCCATTCTAATGCATGTGTCATAACGAGATCATAGAGAAATGGAGTATTCTTCTTCCATATTTTATATTCCTCATTGATCACACGCTCTTCCACTGCGTCGTCATAAACTGAAAGAACAGTTTGCTTATCAATTCTTGTTCACAGTCATAGCTTCCATAATAAAAATTGTTCAATTAAGTAAAAATCACATTCTTATATCATATTTAAAAACTACTTTATGATCAGAACCATTAATGGTTAACCGTTACAGCAAGACCAAAAACTGTTGCATTTGCCTGAAGAACAACACTGATGTCAGGCATTTTAACTAATTACATTTTCAAAGTTTTATGCAAGTTTCTGTACAATATTTTGGAAATTTAATTCTATAAATGCATTGTGGGCCTCTCTGACACTGCACCGCATTCTCTCTATTCCCCCATTCAAATTGTCTTCACTCACCACTTTTCAAAGTGACTCAATATTTCAGTGGTATTTATTCTAATCAGTAGATCATCTCATTTACAAAACAAAAGACAGGTTATCAAGAATATTTTGTTCCATATTTGTAAAAACTTTGTATTTATACACAGCTGCTGGCATGAGAAACAGTTAATAGGAGTATAATCAAACAAAAACTGAAATGTTATTTCCCATTTTTGTTCATCCTTCCCACTCATCATACCAAAGCCCAAAACTCAATCATCTTAAAACACTGTCTAAACCGACTCCCTGTTTTCAAACATCTACAAAGTCTCAAATTTCTATGGTTTTGCTAAATTACACTGACTCATAATCCATTAATTGTTAAGAACCACCTCCCTATTTTCACACTATCAGTGGCTTGGGTCCACTAAAATGTCTAATCCAGGCTATAAAACGTCATTAAAGGCAGTGCTATATTTTCAGAAATGCCATTTTTTGATGGCACTTTAAAGATGAATTTTGTCTATCCCCATCTGATAGGCATGACACTATATAAAGAGGAAAGGCATTCTCTCAATGTTTCAATCAACCAACACTGGAACAATACAATTTATTCTGCCGCCATTTACACGTAGCACACATAGTGCAATGGAAGTGCCCCTATCTCTGACCCGAGGCTTGGGTTCAAGGCCAGCTCCAGTAGCGTGCGATGTGATTTCTGAATAGGTTGATTAGAAAATATCTATTGTTTAGGCAAGATTACTGTTCTGTGCATTGGTTACTATGGTTCCTTCATTACAGGTGACAGATCCCAAAATCATTTATTTGTCTGAAAACTGCTCTGACTCTCAAGGACAAGAAACACTGAAAATGTATTAACAAAGGTGTAGAGCTGGATGAACACAGCAGGCCAAGCAACATCGTAGGAGCAGGAAGACTGATGTTTCTGGCCTAGACCCTTCATCAGAAATGGGGGAGGGGAAGGGGGTTCTGAAATAAATAGGGAGAGAGGGGGAGGCGGAAAGAAGTTGGATAGAGGAGAAGATAGGTGGAGAGGAGACAGACAGGTCAAAGAGGCGGGGATGGAGCCAGTAAAGGTGAGTGTAGGTGGGGAGGTAGAGAGGAGATAGGTCAGTCCAGGGAGGACGGACAGGTCAAGGGGGCGGGATGAGGTTAGTAGGTAGGAAATGGGGGTGCGGCTTGAGGTGGGAGGAAGAACAGGTTAGGGAGGCAGGGACGAGCTGGGCTGGTTTTGGGATGCGGTAGGGGGAGGGGAGATATTGGACACTAAAAACCGTAAGTACAGTAAACTTACTGGTGCCTACCACCCAAAACGGGCTTCCTCCACCTGCCAAATCCCCAGCCGTACCCAGGATCTTCCCCACAATGTGCCCGCCGCCATTGGCCATGAGGCCACTGTCGGAGAACCCACAGATGACGTCACATCCGCCACCGCCGGGTACCCCACTTCCGGGACAGCGAACGCCATTGCTGCTGATGCCACACCTCCATTTCCAAGGCCAACACCACAGACACTGAAGACACACCTACCGTCACCGCTGCTGCCGCCGCCTACCCCGCTCCGCCCATCACCAATGCGGACGCAACCCCGCCCGCCGCCTCCACAGCCAGCAGCTCCAGAGGAGACAGCAACACTCAGCCCTGCCGAGTCTTCACCATCCCCCCAGACCTCCACCTTACTGATGACGAATGGTCAGTCCTCAGTAAAGGGCTCACCTTTGTCCCCCTCCACCCACACATCAACGAATACTGGTCATGTTTGGACATGGAGCAGTTTTGCCGCCGCTCCACGCTTACTTCTTCAACCGTGAGCCTAACCCTCCCTCTACTGACCCCTTCTCCCGCCTCCAACACACCCCCTCCGCCTGGACACCACCCCAAGGCCTCCTACCCTCCCTCGACCTCTTCATCTCCAACTGCCGTCGAGACATCAATCGCCTCAACTTCTCCACCCCTCTCACCCACTCCAACCTCTCCCCAACGGAACGTGCAGTCCTCCGCTCCAATCCCAACCTCACCATAAAACCCGCGGACAAGGGAAGCGCAGTTGTAGTATGGCGCACTGACCTCTACATCACCGAGGCCAGATGTCAACTCTCTGACACCTCCTCCTACCGCCCCCTTGATCAGGACCCCACCCCCAAGCACCAAACCATCATCTCCCAAACCATCCACAACCTCATCACCTCAGGTGACCTCCCACCCACAGCCTCCACCCTCATCATTCCCCAACCCCGCACCGCCCACTTCTATCTCCTTCCCAAAATCCACAAACCTGACTGCCCTGTTCGACCCATTGTGTCCGCCCGCTCCTGCCCCACTGAACTTATCTCCACCTATCTCGACTCCATTTTCTCCCCCTTGGTCCAGGAACTCCCTACCTACGTCCGTGACACCACCCACGCCCTCCACCTCCTCCAGAACTTCCAATTCCCCAGTCCCCAACACCTCATCTTTACCATGGACGTCCAGTCCCTATACACCTGCATTCCCCTTACAGATGGTCTAAAGGCCCTCCGTTTCTTCCTGTCCCGCAGGCCCGACCAGTCCCCCTCCAGTGACACCCTCATCCGCTTAGCCGAACTCATCCTCACCCTCAACAACTTCTCTTTCAATTCCTCCCACTTCCTACAGACAAAGGGGGTGGCCATGGGTACCCGCATGGGCCCAAGCTATGCCTGCCTCTTTGTAGGTTACGTGGAACAATCCCTCTTCCGTAGCTACACTGGCCCTAAACCCCATCTCTTCCTCTGTTACATTGACGACTGTATCGGCACCGCCTCGTGCTCCCACGAGGAGCTCGAACAGTTCATCCACTTCACCAACATCTTCCACCCCAACCTTAAGTTCACCTGGACATCTCTAATACCTCTCTCTCCTTCCTGGACCTCTCTGTCTCCATCTCGGGCAACCACCTAGAAACCGATATCCATTTCAAGCCCACCGACTCCCACAGCTACCTAGAATACACCTCCTCCTACCCACCTTCCTGCAAAAATGCCATCCCCTATTCCCAATTCCTTCGCCTCCGCCGCATCTGCTCCCAGGATGAGGCATTCCACTCCCGTACATCTCAGTTGTCCTCGTTTTTCAAGGACCGCAACTTCCCCCCACCCCTCTCAATGGTTGAGAACGCCCTCAACCGTGTCTCCCACATTTCCCGCAACTCATCCCTCACACCCCCTCCCTGCAATAACAATCAAAACAGAATCCCCCTCGTCCTCACGTACCACCCCACCAACCTCCGGATCCAATGCATCATCCTCCAGCTGCAATCCGAACCCCCTACCAAAGACATTTTTCCCTCCCCACCCTTATCTGCTTTCCGGAGGGACCACTCTCTCCTTGACTCCCTTGTCCACTCCACACTCCCCTCCAGCCCCACCACACCCGGCACTTTTCCCTGCAACCGCAGGAAGTGCCACACCTGCCCCTACACCTCCCCCCTCACCCCCATCCCAGGCCCCAAGAAGACTTTCCACATCAAGCAGATGTTCACCTGCACATCTGCTAATGTGGTATACTGTATCCGCTGTACCCGTTGTGGCCTCCTCTACATCGGGTAAACCGAGCGGAGGCTTGGGGACCACTTTGCAGAACACCTACGCTTGGTTTGCAATAAACAACTGCACCTCCCAGTCGCGAACCATTTCAACTCCCCCTCCCATTCCTCAGACGACATGTCCATCCTGGGCCTCCTGCAGTGCCACAACAATGCCACCTGAAGGTTGCAGGAACAGCAACTCATATTCTGCTTGGGAACCCTGCAGCCCAATGGTATCAATGTAGATTTCACAAGCTTCAAAATCTCCCCTCCCCCTACCGCATCCCAAAACCAGCCCAGCTTGGCCCCGCCTCTCTAACTTGTTCTTCCTCCCACCTCAAGCCGCACCCTCATTTCCTACCTACTAACATCATCCCGCCCCCTTGAGCTGTCCGTCCTCCCTGGACTGACCTATCTCCTCCCTACCTCCCCACCTACACTCACCTTTACTGGCTCCATCCCCGCCTCTTTGACCTGTCTGTCTCCTCTCCACCTATCTTCCCCTCTATCCATCTTCTATCCACCTCCCCCTCTCTCCCTATTTATTTCAGAACCCCCTTCCCCTCCCCCATTTCTGATGAAGGGGCTAGGCCTGAAACGTCAGCCTTCCTGCTCCTATGATGCTGCTTGGCCTGCTGTGTTCATCCAGCTCTACACCTTGTTATCTCAGATTTTCCAGCATCTGCAGTTCCTACTATCACTGAAAATGTATTAATTGTTTATGGGAAGTTTCAGATTGCATTTAAATCAAAAATTACTTGTCGGAACACTTAAAATAGAAGCAAAATTCCACTCAGCAAATAAATCTAAGCACCTCCCACTGCAACAGATCAGCACATATTGCCACTCAATTATCTCACACTGCAGTACCAGCTCAATGAACTGTACTTGAAAATAAAGCATTTTCTACAATAGGATTCACAACTGCAAGAAGATTAACAGGCTAACAATGGAAGGGGAGGTGGGCAGTGGGCAGAGAGAGAGAGAACCATTGTTCCATCTTAATTATAATAAGATCCATTCACCAGTTCAGACCACCTCCTGAAACACTGACAGGGCATCTCCAATAGTTAGCAAATGATAATGCTGGAAGCAAAGATGAAATGTTTAATAACATATGGCTTCCTTCAAGCTCAGGTGATGCCAGGAGCCTGTGCCTGTCCAGAAGGCTATGTTGGCTGGACCAGACTAAAAATAACACACCAACAAATTACTTCCAGGGATATTAAACAAGCCTTGAAATTGAAATGATACTGAAGTGCTTAAGTAGAAAACAAACCTGGTGGGAAGAACAAACAGAAACAGAAAAACAAGTGGGGCTGACCTTCCCTATTATGGACAGTTACACTGCCCAATTGGAGCACATCAATTGGTGACATGACACTTGGAGCAATCAAGCACTTGGTTGTGTGGTCACATTGAAGCTCCTGAAAACTCTTCATGCTCTGGCACAAGGGAAAGGCAGCTGTGCCTAAGGCCATGTAAATGTTGTTAAAAAGGACAATTAGTGCTTTCCACTCAGTCTTGTGTGCAAGGAAGTCTGTTTTCCAGTCTGCTCTCTCAATCCAGGTTTCTTTTGTCTGGTTTGTGGATGATGAGGCTCTATTTTCAAACCATGAATGTTGATCCCATTTAATTTCATAATTAACAAAAAAAAAGTACAGGTTCAAATGTAATGCACAGTTTCAGGGGATGAGGGAAGCATAAAACTTCAAAACACTGGGGAGGGGTCTCATCAGTTATAGAAGTTATAAACTCCTGCTGGAGATGATCCAGGATTTAGGGCAGTACAGTGGTTAGCACTGCTGCTTCACAACACCAGGGACTCGGGTTTGTTTCCACCATCAGGCGACTTTCTCCCCACATCTGCGTGGAGTTCCTCCAGGTGCTCCAGTTTCCTCCCACAGTCCAAAGATGCGCAGGTTAGGTGGATTGGCTACGCTAAATTGCCCATAGTGTCCAGGGACATTTAGGTTAGTGGGTTAGAAACAGGGAAATGCAGAGGTAGGGGAATGAGTCGGGGTGGGATGCTCTTCAGAGGGGCGGTGTGGACTAGTTGGGCTGAATGGCCTGTTTCCAAACTGTAGGAATTCTATGATGATCAAACTATTCTGCTGAATACAGATTGTATAAGGATCCATTCAGACCTGCAAATTTCAGTGTATTTAAAATAGGCATTACATTTTTTTTTTTAAAAAATCCACATTTATTATTTAGTATATAATGTGGAACATGCAGTATCAGAACAGGCCATTCAGCCCAACCGGTGCATATTCATGTTCCACACGACCCTCCTCTGTCAACATATCCTGTTCCTCTTGTGCCTATGTAGCTTCTCCTTCAATGCACCCGCAGTCTTCACCTCAACCAATGCATCTGGCAGCAAGTTCCACATTCTGAACCCCTTATCTCGGTTCCTCCCGAATTGCCAATCGCTCACTATCTTTGGCTGCTATGACCCTCGGGAACGGTGGGGGAAAGAGGGTTGTTTTTGACACCAAGTTCGCAACAGCTACTGGTCTGAGTGTGTGTGTGAGGGAGAGAGCACGACTCACCCGGACGGCCTACCGGAGGACAAAGTACGGGACCACTGCCTCACTGACATCTCCCCATCCTCCTCGATGTAAATAAAAACTCGACTTTTCCCCAAAGCATCGCACCGTCCCCTGGGAAGCAGAGAGAGAGGGGGTGGGGAATATATAAGCCCCCGTCCCCGGTGTGAGCACCGGCCACCCTACTCCAA